GTGTGTGTGTGTGTGTGTGTGTGTGTGTGTGTGTGTGCAGAGCATCTCATGAATATTCTGTTTCATCTGCTGTTGCTGTGACAATGACAGAGTTAATGACAGTGACAGATGTAGAGATCATTCTCCAGCACTCCCCCCGTGTGTGTGCATGTGTGTGTGTCTGTGTTGTTTGTGTACGATTAGGCGTGAACACAAGTATACATCAAATAAACTACGCACCTAATATCATAAATATCACCACTTTTCCCAGGCACAGTTTCCTCTCTCCAGGAAATAAATCCCGTTCAGGCACTCAGTTTGTTTTATAATGCGTTGTCAGCCGCTATGTGTGACGTGCCAATCTGAAACCACAACAATCCCGTCTCTCCATGCAGGTGAGGACATGCTGACCTTTGACCTCCACAGTCTGGCGACGCTGGCGGCCGCCCGTGCCCTGGAGATGGGGGGAGGCGCTCAGGATGTGGGGGTGGACCAGCAGTGTCCAATCAGGAAGAGGCTCAATCTGCGCAGGAAGTGCAGCTGGACACCTCGCCACGAGCCGGTGAGGTTTTTACCCAATGTGTATTTTGTGTTGACGAGGGAAACATAAATCATTCAGACTGAAACTGTTGAGACGTGTTGAACAATGGACTCACACCTCATTTGTTTTGTTTTTACTAAGCTTAAAAAAACTGTAAGAGAACAGAAAACAAGAGACAGAGAGTAGCTTGTTTGATTAAATTCATTCTTAATAATCTTGATTTTTCATGCAGACACTGTTACATGCATTACTGTGTGTTGAGTATCTCATTTCACATTTTTATGTTATTAAATCCAACAGTTATGTGTTCAATTTCTAAGGTAAAATATAACTACAATTTAACAAAGAATATTTAAAAAGGGTTAACTTCTTCAAGATGTAGTTATATATATATGACAATTTGAGAATATTCCAGTTACAGAAGACTTAAACAGGCTGCATGAACATCAGCTGGAAACTTCATAAATCCAATGACTTTTTAACTCAGTTTGTTTTCAGCATTTAAATATCCTCTGTTCTGTGTGTTTGTGTGTGTTTGTGTGTGTTCGTGTGTCAGGCGTGCCCAGTGAAGGGCTCCATGGAGACAATGGGAGGGGAGGAGCTGTCCATGCGTGTCCAGCTGGCTGAGCTACAGCGCCGCTACAAAGAGAAACAGAGAGAACTGGCCAAGCTACAGAGGAAACACGACCACCAGTGAGCAGAGAGAACGCACACACACACCAACATATACACACACACACACTTCTTTTTGTCTCTATTGAATCATGCATTCCAACATTCGCAGTCCTGCTGTCATGCTGCATCCTCCTGATTTATCAGGACTTGCTGCCTGCTCATACCTAATGCAGTTTGTCCTGTAGCCAATACAAGTTTCCTCCTGATTTCTCTCGCTGTCCTGACTGCATCTTTGATCTCTCTCTCCCCCCATCTTCCTCCTCCTCCTCATCTTCCTCTCTGCAGGAGAGAGGAGACGTCTCGCAGCCCTGCCCGCCGGGGGCCTGGCCGCCCCCGCAAGCGCAAGTCCACCCCCGGCCCAGCTGCTGCGGAGAGTTCCAAAAGACTCAGGTCAGTGCACTGATGTTGCGTCAGTATAATCAGTGTGATTGGCAAGCCCCGCTCATTCATCCTGATTTCTGTTTGTGTTCTTAGTGAAAGGCACGGTTGATTTTCAAGAAGTTCTTCTTCAGCTGAATTGATTCAAATGCTCTATAGCTGATGATTTGCTTGATTGGGCACTGGAAGGAGCTGCTCACGCACACACACACGCCAAGTGGGTTATGTGATGGAAGCTGTAAGCTGGGTGTGATTTTGAATGAGCGGAGGTAATGGAGATGAGGCCTTCATTAATCATCATTAATCACTTTTAATCATATTTATCACTTGCATTGATTATGTCCTGATTCCCTCTGAACCTCCAGCATAAATTAATACTGCTGGACAAAGTCCCGATGTACAGTTATTACAGTGATAAACGACTGCACACTACCCTCACCCGCTGCAACACACACCACCTCAGACGTGCACACTCTCACGCTCACACACACACATTCCTGCACATACACACAAGCTGGAAGCGCACACACACACACACAAAGTCAGTATTCAGCGCTCATAATGATAAATGTGTTTTCTCATGCCGCCCCACCTCTGTTAGCATGTGCACCCCTCGCCTTGATAAAATGATTAGAGAAACTCAAGGTTTGTCACGGTTACTGTGATTAGAAAGTGCTAATGAAAATGACAATGAAAGGCTTTAGTCATACATGCTAGTGCAGCTCACATACACCCAGACCTTGTTTAATTAGCAGAGCTTGTTGCTACGTGCGTGAGCAGCATTTCTTTTGCTATTAACAAGTGTTCCTGTATCGTTTGTTTATACTTTCATCTACTCCTGAGAGTTGTGGGTTAAAATGAAAGAGTGTGAGAGATGAAGAGAGAAAAGCAACCTTTCCAAACTCACCCAACATACATAAGCAGCTTTCAGACGTGCACTTAACTCCAAATAATCCCCTGGCATTCTCCTGAGGGGCCATATGTGAGAATGCAAATGTCCGAGTGAGAGCCTCCAGACTTTATCCGAAGTTTCTCCAGCCAGCCCCCTAGTAAAAACTTGTGACAGCAGGAGATCCTCCAGAGGATTAGCCTCGACCAAGTGGGCGTGTTGATGATGTTACCAACAAGCGTCAGATGGAGAAAAAAAAAAAAAATAGGTATAATGGATGAAAAACCAGTGCGACACATATAGAAGACAAGAACAAAGATGTCAAGACAGCTTTTGGTAAAAAGGGCTGACAGCAGTGTCAATGTGCTGTAAACAAAAAAACACGTGATCTGTGGCGTTACATAAGGCCTCTTCCTGCTGCTCCACCCCTCACCTGAACACTTATTTCTATATTGTTGTGAACACATCTGAGCGGAGAATCTCCTGCTGCACTGTTCTGATAAACGGCTACTGTGTGTGGCCAAAAGTATGTAGATGGCTGAGCATTATATTCATTTGGGTTCTGCTCTTTATTTGATATGCTCCCATTCAGACACAGACGCACAAGTGAATTCATAGTTTCCATGTAGGCTGGGGGTTGGCTATGGCCCCTTGTGGTATAAATGTCGTCATCCACCCTTGTCCGCTAGTATACGCACAGACCCCTATACTGTATGCTGACTGTAAACTTCGATTGTGCATGCTCCAGGAACTATATATCCACTGGAATTGAATGGAAAGTGGGATCAGGTACACACATGTGGAACACCAGACCGACGCTGACCCTCATGGAAAAGTACGGTCAACCCTTTGGCCACTGTAGTCGGGCAGTAAAGACCTGGGTTTGTTGAAACAAGATATTCAGTACATCCAACATGTTTCATTCAACCACATCTTAAGGCAAAAGTGTTGAGGATAAGGTGAAAAACCTGCACTCGTCACAAGTTGTAAATAGGATAATCATTCAAATGGGGATAATAGTGGTATTTATGTTGCACTCGGCTGCACACACAAAAGTGATGTATGTATGTGGGTGAAAGAATGAAAACGAGAGCTTGAGAGAGAAATTCAAACCCTGCTTACTTAGGCCAGTCGCTGCATGAGCTTGATTGTGAGACCTGTGAGTCTCAGCTGCTCTTTGACTATTGGAAAAATCCCTTTATGTAAAACATGACGGACCTGACTTCACGTGCATTGTTGTGTCGAAACAGGAAAGGGTCTTCCCCAAACTTTCACGATCTGCAAACCACAAAAAACAGGGCCAGACGAGAAGTATACATGTAGTGAAGATATAATGCACATGCACGCTCTTTGTACTGTAGGTAAGGACGTGATGTGGTGCAAATTTAAAGGCTTAAAAGCTCAGAGGGGTCAGGTAGAGGGATTACAACAGACAGATGTGACAGACTAAATCAGATTCTTATATAGGTAGATCTTTTCTGCTCTTTCTCCTCTTCTCTTCCTCTCCTCTAGTCTCCACTCGTCTCCCCTCATCTCCTCTCCTATATCCTCTTCTGTTCCTCTCGTCTCCTCTCGTCTCCACTCGTCTCCTCTCCTATATCCTCTCCTCTTCCCCTCCTCTCCTCTAGTCTCCACTCATCTCCCATCCTATATCCTCTCCTCTTCCTCTAGTCTCCTCTCCTGTCCTCTCATCTCGTCTCCTCTCTTCTCCTCCTCTTCTTCCTCTCCTCTCTTCTTCCTGTCCTCTCATCCCCGCTCCTCTTCTTCTCCTCTTCCTCTCCTCTTCCTCTCCTCTCCTGGCAACGGAGATGCTGAAAGCCAAAACTTCCCTCTGTGGGAATATAGGATTCACCTGCCTCAGACACAGCTGCTAACTGAGTGTGTGTACAGTGTGTGTACAGTGTGTGT